TGCCAACTGCTCACCAGAACGGAAACTAATCATTCATACACACTCACACGGGAGTTAGGGATGCAGCGAGAGGGAAGCCAGGGAAGCCAGGGATCAAACCACCAACCTTCCGATTAGTAGACGACCCACTCTGCCTCTCTGCCACAGCCGTTCAGTGATGATGGACCATTGACTCAGTTTATAGCAACAGTCCCTGGACTTATCTTACCTTGCATAAATTGTTCCAATTCCGAGTCCTGCACTCCAACATATAGGGATTATATTTTTGGGGAAAAGAGAGTACTGCTATCTACGGAAGCTTTGAGAGACAAAGGAGAAAATTAGTTTTTTCTCAGCACATCACATTCCTAAGCAAAAGAAACCATGACAATAATGTTACATAACTTGCTAACAGACATTTTATGTGTACAGGACAGACAACAATTAAGATCAGACTTATTTTCTCACTTGCCTTTCAGTTCTTCCATAGCTATTCAATCGGTACTCAGTATCAGTATAGGAAGAGAAAAGGTTGGATCGGCGCATCCCTTCTCTCGTTTTACCTGAAGCAACATGGCCCTTCCCACATGCAGTGCTGTTTTCAGTCTGAACGCCCTGTAACCCAGAGAAAAGATGCATAAGTACAGCCCATACAGCAGCACCAGTTCCCTTGACCTGGGGCAATGGTTGTTGGATAGTCAGCCTGCTCCACCTAAATAATTTGCATACTGAGACACAACCACAATGCAAGCACTGTAATACCAGGTGTAAATGCAAAGGCCCATGGTTAGATGTAATTTTGCAGATAAAGGATACAGATCACATTTTAATACCAGGTGTACCATTTAATACCATTAATAGTATGTGGCAATCAATATTTAACTGTACAGTCTAGGGCTGGGTATTGTTAAGAACCTCACGATTCTATTTTTATTCTTTAGGTCACAGTCCGATTCGATATTGATTTAAATGCTTCAGTATCGATTCATTAATAAGTAGAATTACACAAATAATTCATTAGACTACCTGTTGATGATTTCAATTAATTGCAGACTTCAACAACTCCAAAACCGCTGTCTTTACCTCTGTGTACAGCTTCGGGACAGCGACTTCAGTCATGTGTTTGCGTGTTGGTATGGCGTATCGTGGTTCCTTACATATGAAGACGGCCACAGACTCCATTATCTTCTGTGTGCGGGCAGAGTTGGGCGGCAGTTTGGATCTGTCGAGTTGCGTCTGTTTTGAATCCACAGGTTTTTGGGTTGCTGCAGAGCATCTGCATGGTGTCAGCTTAAGTGGTTACGCAAATTTGTTGTGTTGTTTGCAGTATTTTAGTACTGCCTTGCACAGCTTACACACTACCTTACTTTTGTCTATTTCCTGTGTTCCGGGTTTACACTGGAATTCAAAATGACTCCAAACGTCTGCTTTTTAAGTTGAAGGCGCCAGTTTAACACTGCTGCTACCCGCTTCAGTTGCTATGTTGTTGTTTGGTCGAGTGCGGCCTCCGTCCGTACAATGCACATCACACAAAGGTGTTGCTCACGGCGCCCCCACTGGCCAGGGGCTTGAATCGATTCAGAGGATTTAATGAATCGATATTGAATTGGGAAAAAATATATTGCAATACATTGATGAATCGATATATTTTTACCCACCCCTATTACAGTCTAAGAAAAGTAAACACACACTAGGGGTGTAAACCCCAGACTCCCTTAACAAACTCAGGGTTTTGAGTGTAGTTGCGTTACGGGAAACTTTATAAACTTTGTAAAACACTGTCTATGGCGAATTCTTCATTATTTATCCCTTATTGTAAATTTGGCAAATGTTAAGTTATTCCTTTCTTTGTATGAAAAAATATTTTTAGTTTGTCCTGGTATGTTGCAGTACCTGTGTAGGCTACGCTGTTCCCAGTTAACAGTAGAACAGCTGCACAAATGAATGAAACACACAATCGCACACAAATGTAATTTCTCACTGTATATCATTCATTTACACCTGTATTGATTATATTTTTCACTCAGTTCTATTAAATGAATAATGCATCTTTGGCACTTTTATGGCACAAAATAAAGGTGTAATCGGTAATTAGAGCCCCGTCTCTCCAGATGGGGGTCGTATTGTGTGGAATTTTAATATCAGGTGTTAGTGGGGTCTCAGACATCTATATACAGAAGAATCTACAGCAGGTGTCAGCAGTCAAAGCTGTCACAGTGCAATTTGGAGATGGGCTGTGATTTAAAAAACTGAACCAGGGCATCTGCTCGGATGTAGGGGAGCACAACCTAATGTTAAAGGTTGCATCGCACTTCAGTGATAAATTTTCCTGAATTTATATGGCTGTTCTAATTAGTTGAAATAAGCACAGAATCCCTCTAGCTGTTTGGACAATATCATCACAGTAGTGTTTTTCTATTTTTCTCCCTGTTACAGTATCACCCACATCTAATTAAGACTAAATATTGTATGCAAGCACCAGTAGGCCCCATTTACACTACACGTCATTTTAAGTGTCTCATGTGGATAAAATTTATTTTAAATGCACTTATGTGTGTCTGTTAGCCAGATCACTGATAAGATTGGGTCTGCCTGGCATATCAGGTGCTATGTGCTAATCTGGGTTGGACCTTCTCTATCTTAAAGCAGTCAATGATCTGTTGATCTTTTCAACTCAAGACTCCATAGTCTTCCAATGGCATAGGAGTCGGTGCTAGGAAAAAAAGACAAAATTGTGACACCTCTAAAAAAAAATCCAACACAATGTCTTCTGTGATTGCTTTCTGATGCAACCAATCAGAGAGAGAGTAGAGCGGGTCATCGCTGAATGCGGACCAATTCTTTTTAAAATATCTGATAGGTAGTCACAGTCATACCTAAATCTCTATAACATCAATGATGAAGTATTGAGTCATATTGTGAAATGTGAGATTATCACTATTAACCAGCTCTGAATGATTGTAAACCCTCACTGATTCAGCTAGTTTGACAGTAGAAGAATGAGGCAAGGGGATATTAACCACATAGATTATTTTCAGATATGTCGCTAGTCTTGGCCTAAATATTTGTTTACGCTCCTGTTTTTATTAAACATACTCTGTTTCTGTGTTTTCCAGGGCAATCAAGGCGTTCCAGGAGGTGCTTTACATTGACCCCGGTTTCTCAAGAGCTAAAGAGATTCACCTGAGACTGGGACTCATGTTCAAAGTCAACACAGACTACGAGTCTAGTTTAAAGGTAAATCTAAGTGAGCTTTATATTGGTTCAGTTCTGTCAGGGCCTGATGGTGAGGTTTAGAACCAGTTATCAGTTGGATTTAACTTTCAAAACCACATGTTGAGTGTTTTCAAACTATATTTAGTAGTGTTACAGCAGTAGTGGCACAGTGATACATGGATGATAAATGATGTACTGATCTGTAAGTAATGTTTATAGATTTTATTCTTTTCATGCTTCAGTCTGTCCATCCAGTGAATAATAGCAGCGTAACACAGTGGAATCATTTTCCATTCGTACCAGTCCGTATTGTATGCCTGATATGTAGTCATAGAAGCCTCCTTCCTGCCTAAATGGATGTGACCTCCCTAGTCCTCAGATTAACAAAGGCGGGTGGATCATCTGTCCCGTCTGTCTGCGCTAAACCCCGTCCTCTATCTCCTGACACCTGTGAGCCATAGATGTCCAGACAGTAACGAAGGGCTTTCTGACTGCAGCCTATGGATCTATTGTTGTCTGAGAGTCCCGGTTGCCTTTAGGGACAGACTGCTATCTGATCCTGGGCTTTGTCCTGCTCCAGACATTCTGTCACAGGAGTGTTTTATTATGCATTTTAATGCATTAGCATGCTGTTAAGCTTTGCAGAGCATTGTTTTACAGTTAAACCAGAAGGCTATGTGATTAATGGATTAACTCCTGTTAATTCTTTAATTGACCCTTAGTATGTCCCGCCCCTTTTTTGTTCTGTGTTTCAATCACAGCTGAGCAAGCTTCGCCCACAACCTCAGTCAGCTTCCTCCTTTCCTGTACTTAGATATGCTATGTGCTAGGCTAATCTATGTTGAAAAGACAACCACATTGTGAAGATGGTAAAAAGATAAGTGACATACGTCACATATTAAGTTGACTCATTAGCAAAATGCTATGTAACTAAAGATTTATTTATTTTTGCTAACATTAGCTTTCAGATGTAAGTAGCTAGCTAACAGTTGGTGTAAATAAGTTAGCTAGCATTAACTTGCTAACGTTAGCTAGCTAACTTAAGATGTGACTATATTTGATTGGATTTATTTTGATCTCTTTTTAATCTTCTAAGAGTCTTTAAGAGATTAGATTATTAAACATTTATAGATAATTTACACAAAATTGTTGATGCACACATACTTCACATACATAACACACATATAACCATATACATTGGCAATGTAATGTACCTACCTATACACATATTCATCTATACATGTTCAGGGGTCAGCAACCTTTACTATCATAAAACAACAACCTGCAAAACATATATGAGCTTTATAAAGCTAATTACTCAGCACAGTCAGCAGCATCGTAGTGACGGCAAACAAATCTGTCAACAAAAGTAGCTGAGGTTTATAAAAACTAACTTTTTGTCATATTCACTGAAACTTTCACTATATCCTGACAGTAGAACATGAGACAGATCATCTGTGAAACAATCTGGTTACCCTGGCTCCTCCTAGTGCTCCTAATTGCATTTGTAGGAATCCACTGTACCTGAAAGAAGAAAAGCAATCAGAGCTAAGAAAGATAGAAAGAAAGATGCTTTGGAAGCCGCTGGAGAGTGGCTGAAGAGCCTCAGGTTTCCTGCCCCTGACGTACCATTACTCTACAAACTACTGAAAGTACAATACAATAGTGTGATGAAAACTATATCTTACAATCAACAGTCCAGTTGAACAGTTCTGAAGATGAAGGCCTGTCTTCTGATTGTAGTTGTCTTTTCAACATAGATTAGCCTAGCATATAGCATATTTAAGTACAGGAAAGGAGAAAGTTGACCGAGGTTTGCTTGACTGTTGGAGACCAAACGGTAAGAGACAGACCAAAAAGGGGCATGGCGTATGAAGGGTAAATTCTGGCACTTCTTTAGAAGTATGTTATTATAATTTCATTTTATGCAATGACACGGTTTCAACAAGCAAATGGAATATTGTACATTGGGTAATATTTATTGGTAGGCTATTACAGTGGGTTTCCTTTAAATGTTCATGATGGGCTACCCTTTTACAGTTAAATTAAAGCATGTGCATGAGGTGGTGTACTGTCTGTTGATGCTGATACAGTATTGAGCTAGTAAGTAGGCTGCACGTGCTGCACGTCCACACTCTTGGTTGCACCCCTCCCTCTCAGTCCTGGCTCCTTGCCAGCAAAACACACACACACACACACACACACACACACACACACACACACACACACACACACACACACACGACTGCCCCAGTTATCTACAGGGAGGGGTGGGTGCACGCTTAGAGGAGCTGAGATTGACTAAAGGTAGGAGAGAGAGAAGGGAACTGGAGAGGGGAAAACAGGAAATTGTTAGAAAAGACAGTTTGCTGCACATGACGAGTGTGGGGAGGAAGGGAATTTGGAGAAAGATTTTTATGAAGGATGCATGTTTCGTGGTGCTTCCTCTTCATCCTTCCCCCTTTTCCCTTGGAGCACATTGACTAGAGGAAGAGATCAAGTGATGGAGAGATGCCTGCAGTTTCTGAGTTACATTGTAACCTAATTAGGAGGCAGCCACTGTAATTTTGCTCATAACTTCTCCTAACTTCTCCTTGTATTCTTCACCCGCATTAGCTTCATTTCATTAGTGGCTGCAAATTTGGCCAATGAGAGGAGGAGAAATGCGATTGCTGGAGTGTTTGTGCACTGTATATTAGTAAGGTGATGAGCTGGCTGTCTCTGTAGAGCCGTGCGGCCACAGAAAAGAGCTTTGAGCTGAGAAAAGGAGGTGAGATAGAGGGAGGGATGGGGGGAGACAGAAGGGAGAGGTGGTGTGCGCTGCCTGTTCCAGCTTCGAGGTATTGTGTGTCATCTCTCTGCACTCTCCACTGCAGCCGTCTGCTGAATAGTAATCAGTGACACCAGGATAGGGGGGGAGCGAGAGAGGGAGAGAAAGAATGATAGCAAAAGAGACGAAGAGGGAGAGAGAGTGAGGAAGGCGAGACATGGTGAGGGAGGTGGAATGCCAAGCTGACAATCCTGCTGCATTATCTGCCTGGTGGTAGAGCAAGTGTGAAAGAGAAGGAAGGGAAGGATAGACGAGACAGAGGGAGAGAGCCACATGAAGATGCAGTGGGGTTCCAAGAGGAGTGTGATGTGCCAGCGATCTAGGTAACGCATGTGCGTGTTTGAGTAACATTCTCTAACATTAAGGCATCTGGCTGTGATGAGTGTTTGTCATGTTTTGCAGCTCATAGCTCTGCTTAAAAGGAGTTAATTCTAAGCACAGTCCTGTGTTTTTCTGTGTGTGTGCGCGCACATGTGTGAGAAGCTCTGCTGGCCCTGAGTGAAGCTTGCAAAGGAAGATCCAGCCGTACACTTCTTGATTTCTGTGTTGCTGCTGCTGCAAGGCTACAGGTTTCTCCTTCTGTGTCTGTGTGTCTGTGTGTCTGTGTGTGTGTCTGTGTGTGTGTCTGTGTGTGTGTCTGTGTGTGTGCGTGTGTGTGTCTGTGTGTGTGTCTGTGTGTCTGTGTGTCTGTGTGTCTGTGTCTGTGTGTGTGTGTTTTAACAGCTATCTTTTGCCCCAGCCTAGATGTTAGTTACTGATATTTGCCAGTTTTTTCTTCCAGCACAGCCGACCGGTGGAGTACGGCAACAATGGCAGTACAGTCTGTTCTCTGACTGTGTGCTAGATTCTTGTGTGCTTTCAGGAGGTTCTCGCACTTGAGAGCTGTGAGTTTTTCCCTGACCCAGATAAGAGAGACTGGTGGTGCCTTTAAATGCATGAAGCTGTGTGTCTCTGTGACTGCATTGGGTCATGATGCAATTTAGTAACTGCAATGAAACCTGTCACCTTGAAGCCACCTATAGATGCTCCTTTTACAAATTCACAGCATCAGACACCTTGCTGGAATTTAATATTTTCATCCTACCAGCAGGTGAAAGTCTGCTCTGCACATTTGATACCCTCAAGCACTACAGTGCACTTCAACACACTTTAGTAAAGCATGATGTCAAAGTAATGGTAGCTTACCAACATGTCAACATATGAGGGAGGTAATAGTTGTATTGAAGCCTTAAGATGGTCAGGAGGAAGCCAGAAGAGAGTTGTCTCCAGCTGTGTGACGCATTCATGGGTATGCATCAGTTCAGTGACCCTGGCTTGAGATACTGGCCAGTAGTGCCACGCCTTGGCAGCCAGGCCAAGCCTCTGCAGACCTGTGCCTCACCCCAGCAGTGCTGTCTTAAGTTTAGTTGATGGTATAGGATGCAATTATCAGTGCCTCCTTTTGAGGCAACCATTCTTATGGTTGGGCAGGAGGAGGGAAAGGGGCGAGGCTGGAGCAATATGTGTGATCCAAAGACAAGAATATCTATGGTTCAGCCCCCCCCCAAGCTATCTGTGTCCTCATGTTGCAGTCAGCAGGGTTCATTCATGGTTTGTTGTGGATCTGTGAGGGCTTTCAGTGAAAGAGAAATTCTCCCTGATTTCCTTGAAAACATCAAGATTTATGAGCAATCTACTGCTTAATGCCTACTTATTAGCAGTCGGGAATATGTGTGTTGTGTTAGTAACATGAATTATGCAGACTGTTGGTCGTGTAAAAGTGTATGCATTTCTGTTGATAATAAAGCATCTCCTTTCTTCCCTGCAGCATTTTCAGCTGGCTTTGATCGACTCCAACCTCTGCACTTTGTCCAAAGCTGAAAGTAAGTAGTACTGTTATAATTACCTGAGGCAGAGCCATAGGCTGCTGTGTAATGTAATATTAGATTTGATGTACCAGCTTGTCAGTGGTAGATGGCACAGACTGAAAGGGCACAGGAATATTTCTACGGAACAATTTTTCCTTTCTGCTGCCATTTCCCTGCTGACTCTGCCCAAGACTGGGGTTGCCTAGGAGACAGCGCACGGAGAAGGAGAGGGAGAGAACTGGAAGTGCTTGCAAGCACATTGCCCATACACACTGTGATTTCAGATTACATGTTCACTCTGGGGAAACTGTCCTACTCCCCCTCCCATCTGCGCTCCATACTGTTTGCAATCTGTACCCGCTGAGGTCGATGGGGTAAGTCTGATATATATTGGAGTAATATAATAAAGTAAGCCCTTCTTCTTTCCTCTGCTTTTTCCCCACAGTTCAGTTCCACATCGCTCATTTGCATGAGATCCAGGTAAGCAATCAGTTCCAATTTCTGTTTCAAAATTCAGGGCAGTTTAATGTATAGTAGGGCTGGGCGATATGGCTTGAAAATAAAATCTCAGATTTTTTCACACCAAACCCGATTTACGATTTAAAGCGTTTTTTTTGGTAGACTGTTTTTTAGCGGGTGTTTGTGGGCTGTGGTCCTGTATATCTCGCAGACAGCAACATTTCTCCCACTCGGCTGCATGCCTCTGCTTGAGGTGCTGGAATAAATTGGTTGAACTGCTACCTTTGGTTGCAACAGCTTTCAAACAAACTTTGCAGTGGGTCGTGGTTTGTTCGCTGTCTGATGCCACAAAACCAAACCAGTTCCAAACAACCGACGACACTGTGCCTTTTTTTGGGGACGAGCTCATCCTGGCTTGCTGCCATGTTGTGTTTATCTGTGGAGAGGCGGGGGGAGGGGTCAGCGCACTCTGACCTACGGGAGCCCAAAGGGAGTGCTGGGGTTGTGGATGTTAAAGAGAAAACCAATTTTAACTTAAAATAAATCGTGTTTAACTATGAATTCGAATTAATCGATAAAATCGATTTATCGCCCAGCCCTAATGTATAGACATATATTAATACTCTCGAGCAAGAGGGTGTTAGTTTGTTACCTTTTTCTGTGGTATCTTTGGTCCTGTGGTTAAATGTTAGAGGAAATAAGTAAAGTTACTAACAGCAATTGAGCAATGGTTTATCTTGCCATGATACACACACACACACACACACACACACACACACACACACACACACACACACACACACACACACACAAGGTAGTTCGTCACTGTCTTGACTGGAGTCATTGCATTAGATTACTGCTCTTACTCTTTTTTTCCCAGTGATGTACCACAACTATGGTCACTTATGTCTGAATTGTATTGGTAGAATCAGGGTTCGACATTGACCATGGCCCGTGGCCACAAAAACTTAATCTGCGGCCAGGTCTCGCTCAAGGAGACTTCGATATGCAGCGGGAGGACCTGGCGACTGATCCCTGTGCCCTGTGATTCTGAAGCACATGAATGACAGTATCATTCTCAAAAGCTCAATGCTATGTAGGCCTGCGGGGTTCCTCATTAACCCTTACATGTCTTTTTGTTTAAGTAAGAGCATTTAGGAACAGGAGGATTTGTCTGCACAAAGAAAGAACTGCCCTATCATTAGCCTTTTAATGGGCTCTTGATCAAATGAAAAGCTTGTATAAAGATGAAGCGTATAGATGTGACTGACATTCTGCCACTACATTGGTACTGGTGGTTGACTAATGGAAAACTTAGATTTCTGTTTTATTATGACATTTCTAGCCATCAATCCACGTTTTCAACTGCATTTGAGATTTTGGATTTGTATCACGTTAGCAGGGCTATAATTACATTATTGGGGAGTATTTTCAACTATGGCTATCTTAACACAAAGACTAGCTTGTTGGCGCTTGTATTGCTATCTCTAAGTGCCTCTGTGATAAGACATCAGCCTGCCTGCTGAAACTGAAAGCTTGATGTAAAACAAAAGGTCGGATCGGTTCAATGAAGCTCAATATAGCCAATACCGATCAGTTAAGACTTGATTGGTGAAGATACCGGTCTGTATCGTCCGTCTGTCTTCAGCTGTCACTATCATAAAGGCAATAAAAGCCCCCCCCAGTAGCTGCTACTGTAGTACTGTAGCTTACCAGATCTGATGCAGACACTGATGGGTGGCCTGCAGCAGCTGCTAGACAAGGTGTTGAATAGCTGAAGCAACTTAAAAAAGTGTCCCAGTATGAAAAAAATAACAGGACACAGCAGGTGTTTTTTGCTTCCACCTCATCCATCACTACTTCTTTCAGCATTAGGGCTGCAAAGTAAATCAAATGTTAATCATGATGACGATTTTGGCTTCCCACAATAAAATGAACATAATCGGCTACAATATTTATGTTTAAAATGCGTGCTCTGCTCTGCTGCATATTAAATCAAGCGCTTCCTAAACTAACAGCCAGGCAGGTTTTGGCTTCACTTTTAGGGATCTGTCGTGCCAATGTGTTGGAGTAGAGGAATAAAACACAATAGAGAGCACCAGACTTAAAGACCGCTTCTTCCCTCAGATAGTGAGACTGTTCAATTCTTCCTCAACAATTCATCATTCAAATAAAAAAAAATAAAAAATCTCTGACTCATTATTTAACCAACCTGATTATCCAAAATAATTGTGAGGATATTATTGCGATAATACTTTTAAAATGGCACTAAAACATGCTGGACTCAGTTTACCTACTAATAAATCAGGAAATCAATATAGGACCTTATGCTGGAGAGCTAGACAGCTTCTTCAAGTCAAGCCATGTGAGGATATTCACAATTATCACAATAATGGAAATTGAGAAAAATTGAAAAATGGAGTGTTTTTTACCATGATAAGCCATAATATCGTATATTGTCCCGTCCCTTCTTGGAACATTGAATCATTGAATAAGAACCATCCTTGTTGTGATGCAAGATTCATCATGATCATGGAGTCAAGCAGCTATACTAATATATTCATATCAGTGTTTGTTGTCTGGCTCGATGACAGCCATTAGTCCAAGCAGGAAGGAGCCACTAAGAGCCTTGCTCATTTATATGCCCCAAGTGTCAGCGTTTACCCCGAGGTGTCTTTATTGTGTGCAGACAGGAAGAGTCCAGGACCAGACTCTGGGTCTGTAGAGATGGGGGCGGGTTGCTCTTCAGAAGGCTGCACTTGAGCCGATAAGAGAACATTCAGCCAGCATACACACACACACACACACACACACACACACACACACACACACACACACACACACACACACACACACACACACACACACACACACACACACACACACACACACACCTCAACGTACCGGTTCAGACCCGAGGTCAATAAGGTCGGGAAGTTAAAACAAACAGCGGGCTCACCTCAGACCAGTCAGCTCAGGTTTCCCCAAAATACAAAGCATGCACTGCAGTGGACACACGCGTACACCTAAGCGCAGACACACACACACACACACACACACACACACACACACACACACACACACACACACACACACACACACACACACACACACCAGACGTGTTGAGTCTGGCCTGTCCTCTTCCACGGTGACCCTCCCCTGTGTGTGTTCGTGTGTGTGTCTGGCTGGTCATTACGAGTGTGAGGAGGTCTTAAGAGTCTTTGTGTCTGTCCAGATAGAGCAATAAAACACACTTAACCCTCCTGTCTGGCTTAAACAACCTCTCTGTCTGTCTCTCTCTTCGTTTTCCTCCCCCTCTCATTCTGCCTGCAGAAGAAATACAGAGCGGCGAAAGAAGCGTATGAAAGTCTGCTGCAGACGGAAAATCTTCCTGCACAGGTGAAGGCGACTACACTGCAACAACTTGGTGAGTCTCCCTTGCTCACATAGGCTGATACTCTCATGTCCTTGTGTGAAGTCTAACAGACTACACCGCCTTAAGTGTCCTGTAACATCTTAGCATTCTGTATGATGAACTGCTTTGCAATGACGGTTTGTGCATGATACTTGGGTACTGTTTGTGATGGGGCTGCATTAGGCTGTGTGTTCTGGAGATGCCTTTTTGTTTTCTTTTAGCTGTCATTTTGTTGAATGAAATCCATTCCCACATCACACAGTAGTTTAAGTAGTTTTCTGCTACTTTCTACCTCTTTTTCAAAGTGCTTGGAGTGTGTGTGTGCTGCAGTGGAGCATAGTTTTCTCTGGTTCCCTTCCCCCACACTGGGTATAGACATACACGTGCACTCAAATGCAAAATGATGTTGCATGGATGTCTTTATGAATGCAGTTAATTAAGAAAAGTGTTTTGTTAATAAATATCATGCTTCAGAAATTAATTTCTGGAATTATAATTTCTATTTTACACACATCTAGTTTCACTGCTATGTTGATTTAAAAAAAACATTGTAAATGTGATTTATTGATCCATGTATGACAAACGTGGCAGTGTATAACTTGTATGTTAGGAATCTGATTATGCTGATTATGTGGGTCAGAGGCAGTAGAAAGGAAGGTCAAATTGAATCATAGAATCAATTTTGTCCATCTCATGTATCTATAATGGAATATTTTAGTGAAATAACTAAATGACACTGCAACAATTCCTTTTGTGTACTGGTCTGTTACATCTTTGTACACTGAGTCACCAGAGGCTGCAAGGCTGTAGGTCATCTGGTCGATCACTAGGTTTTCAGATCATCTAGAGAGCTTTTTCCAGAGGTTAAATAATTTCATGCATTGACAGGCGACGCCACATAAAGACCTAAGAAAAGGCTGAGAAATGTTCCAGATAAAATAAATGCTCTGAAAGCTCAGAACAAATCTTTTAAATTCACTTCCTAGAAACTTTATTCTTTGATTTTATGATATTACTGGGCCGGATTTCAATTGTCATTTCCAAAACAGTCACACTGAAAGCTAATGTTAGAGCTATAAATTTGGGTTTCAGGACTTGCCTGGAGACTATGGAAGGCAGTACTGACAGTTGTAGCTGTGTAGCAATAAAGGGACAATGCAGCTGGCCCTTTGTCTTTTTTCTTTACTTACTGTTGGACATGTTGCCTTGGTAATGAAAAGATTTGGTATCCCACTGCCTTTTATATGAAATACTTTAAGTTGCCTTGATTTTCCTACATGAAGGTATATATGCACATTTATTTCGTTCATTTAGGATAAGCCCCTTGAGATGGGTCAACTCGTTAGACATGCAGAATAAAGCTTTGATTCTCTGCCCGAACCGGGTCCAAAACTGCTGCTGTAGGTTGTACATATATTTATACGATGAGGGGAGAGAGAGGGGGGAGAGAGAGAGACACAACAGTAGCAACAGCTACACTAATAGTGACTGATGATGAACATGAAGAAGATGATGCAACGACAACAGCAACAATGGGGGACAATGAGCAGTGACAATAGTAATAATAGTATCTGTACTAATATTAATAATAACAGTAATATCAGTGATATTAGCAATGGCAGTCAATAAGGACCATGGCAGGAGGCACCACCAGGATCCATGAGAACATATGAAATGTGTTGGGGTCTGTGCCAAGCAAAAAGATTTGTAGAACTTGGCTTCTCTGCAGCTCTACAGTACTTCATTACAATGCTGTTTGTCACACATTTGACCTTTTATGAATACATTGCAGCTTCTACAAATTGCCTATTGCACCTGTGCATATTACTATTTTGATAATATTTAGATTAATTGTGCAGCCCAAATTAAAACTTGTGCAATTAGGATCTAAATAGATCACAGCATTCTCAAACATACTTAATGATGTCAAATTAATTATTCCACTCAGATGGAGCCTTGAACATAAAAGCTCTTTTTCCAACTGTTCACGTGATAGTTTTGAGGTATAACGTAAAAAGATGGGAAAAGTGCAATTGGAGTTGAGTCTTTCATACATTGAACAATGAGTATGTAAAGGAGATCCAAGGACAAGTCTACATAGTGTTGTATGCTGCATTGAGAGGGGAAAGATTAATTTTAGAAGCATTTTGTTAAACCGTATCAGCGTAACGCAAAATTAATTTTATGTAAGACAGTCTGTGGCAGATGAAGTGTAGCTCCAAGGTTAGAACATCAACCTGGAAATGTGCTTTGAAGATTAACTTAATCAGAAGAAAACCTTTTTTTTGCCTTCTTCCTCAAAGTGGCAGTCAGACCATTAAAACCATCAGACATTTGTGTGTGCAGACGCAGAGAGACTTCCATTTTCTTCCTTTCCTGTTTGTAGACAGCCACCCCCCCCCCCCTCACCCAGTTGTAAAAACCCTTTCTAGTCTAGTCTGCTGAGGTTGCCATGGTGACCTGTGGAGCTTGCCACAGGTGTATAGGAGAAGAACTAGGGAGGCCTTTTTCTTGGGTCTGCTGTTTGTTGGAAATTGCCCATCTGTGTCTGTGTGTGTGTGTGTGTGAGAATACACCCCCCCCCCATCTGCATGTTTTGGCCCTTCCTCTTGGGTTACAGAGCTCCGGAAGAGCTGTTTGTTTAGTTTAATCCTTTTTCAAGACAGTGGTCTTACCTTTCTGACTGCACATCGGGTGCTTGATTCTATGTGATTTAACTCCACACTGCTCTAACTTTGCTGCTCGGTACCCTGGTGCTACCCCAGGAGCAAGAAAGCCAGCTGGTTTTGTTCGAGGTGTTGGAGCTGAATCTAGACTCACCATTGATCTTTTGCTCTGCTCTTGCAGGCTGGATGCATCACACAGTGGAGCAGCTGGGGGACAAAGGCACCAAGGACAGCTATGCCATCCAGTGTCTGCAGAAGTCTTTAGAAGCAGACCCAAACTCTGGCCAGTCCTGGTACTTTCTCGGCAGGTAAGACAAACAAGGGTGTGAGTGTTTGTGTATTTTGCAGGGCTTGCCTCAAACCCGTGCTCTCGCAGCTTACGTTTAGTGATTATACTGTTTGCTTTACGTAGAAGCCATCTGCCAGTGTGCTATGATAATAATCTTTGCTGCATGAGCTTTTTGTTGGTTGAGTAGTTGGTAGTGATTAATGCTTTGTAGGCCCAATGGAGGCGCATGCTTCAAACCAAATTCTCCTGTTCCTGTCCAGTTGAGTTGTGGGTTTCTCCTGGGGCAAATAAGCAGGCTAAATACCCCCACCCCTCTAGGTCCATGCTGTCCCTTGAAGGCCAGGACACACCAACCCGACGGCCGACCATTGGCAGAAAAGCAGTCGGACTGATCAGTCGGCTCCTGTCTCCCCGAGTCGGTCAAAAAAGTGCCTCCGAACACACCAAACCGACGCCGACTGGAGCATACGTTCTGTGCGTGCACGAGGCGTAATACGTCCCCATAACAGCAGGCGGCGCTAATCTGTGTTGTTGCCCCCCAAAAAATGAAACGGAAATGACGGATCACTCTAGACCTAGTAAACACAGAGCACGCTATCGTCAGTCATTGTTTTCATCAGAGAGTGTTGATAGTAGTCAAGAAGGATCGTTATTGTCATTACTCGCTGAACGGAAAATACGATGGCTAATAATAACAAGATACTGCCGTTGGCTTAGTTTGTTTACCATCGTCACTTCCGGTTTTCTTGTGCACTCACTTATTCACTAGTCAAGGGCTAGCACTCCACCAATCAGATTGGTCATTGAGGCCGACGGCCACTACAAAATGAACGCCGACTGACGACGGCACGGGACACACCGAACCGACTCAATTTTACCACCAGCATAGACAACACGGTCAAGAACTTTTTTATTTTATTTATTTTACCTGTGTTTAATCAGATAAGTCAATTGAGAACCAATTCTCATTTACAATGACGACCTGGCCAAGAGGCAGCATCAAGAGTCAATCAAATACAAATCAAGTACAACATACATACAGCTAAGGCAAAAAAACAACAACAATTACGACGAGTTAAAACCGCAATATATACAGTATGTACACAACGGAAATCGGCATACTGTGTTCCACAGAGGTCACTTCAAAAGCAGGTGGAGGTACTGACTTATTAAAGCAGGATAACCGAATGAGGGTGAGCAGTTGCAGCTACTTTTGCAACTGGTTCCAGTCACTGGGAGCGGCAGACTGTAAAGAGTGACGGGCCGAAGGAGGTACGACTGTCCAAAGAGATAAATCTGAAGGAACGCAGATTGTGGTTACTGTTGGACATATTGAGGAGTGCACAGGGATATGGAGGGGTTTTGCCAGTGGTAGTTTTATAAATGTACTGACACCAATGGATCTGATAGTTAAAACTATAAACCACAAAAGCGCTTCACTTAGGTTGCAAAATGTGGATAAATATATGTATTTGTATTTATAGTCTCCATGTGTATTGTCAAAAAGAAATAGACTTGAAGCATAGAATAAACACTTCATGCCCTTTGGACTGAGACAATCAAAGTGAGTGTGTCTCTGCTTGTGACAGCATCTTCTAACATTATAATCATTTATATCAATAAATACAATCTTTCTCTCTCTCTTATGGATCGCAGACTAAAGTTTTGGTGAGCACCGTATGGAGGACGGAGATGCAGGGTGTCAGATCCATGGATCTAAGACTGCAAAACGTTTTTGTAATTAAGGATTTAAAATTAACTCGTGCTGATTAACGAACGAGCCATAGCCACGAGCCGCACTGTAAGAAACATCTCTAAATGCACAATAGGGTTATAGATTATAATTGTTTATAAGCTCTGATGATAAATCAATTTAAATCTCCTCAGTATTGGTGCAGGAAAGCGATCTGATCACCAAACCTATGTCACATTGAATTTGATTTCTTTCTCTACATGTTTTTTGTTTGGCTTTCATTCATTCCTTCTCTCTGTCCCTCTTCTCTCCTCTAGGTGCTACTCCAGTATTGGGAAGGTGCAGGATGCCTTCATCTCATACCGTCAGTCCATTGATAAGTCGGAGGCCAGCGCTGACACCTGGTGCTCCATAGGGTAAGAATGCAACTATAGAAGCATAGCAAAGGTCACAAGCCAAGTGATGCTACTATCTGTACGTCTCTGACCCTTGAACTGATTCCTGGCACCTTGGTGCTCTCTAGCAAACAAGTGTGTGTTTCCACCAGTGTTGAGTATAACCATAGTAATTGAATGCATAATCAAAAGAGGGCGCTGCACAATGCACAACGACCTGTAGATTATGACACGGCCACAAACCTGCTGTTTCTTGGGTTCCTGCTGGGAACCATGTTTCAATACACAGAGCGGTTCAAAACTAGGTGCTTGAACCAGAATCCCTGTTAATGGAAAAGGCCTAAGAGGGGAGGGAATAGCTGGCACATAACAGTTCATCTGTTCAAGGGTGTGCTCGGGCTGCAGTGTGACAGAGAACGTTATCAGGGAGAGGATCAGTAACAGCAGCAGGAGGTTGAGAAAGGATCTATAGATAGATGGGTGAAGGGTTGGGTATGTCCTCTGAGCGTTGAGGTGCCTCAAAGGTAAGGACCCTAAATCCTGGAATATAGAAAGAGAATTACCTCCCCCTCTTTGCCTCTGCCTTCAGGGTGCTCTACCAGCAGCAGAACCAGCCTATGGACGCACTGCAGGCCTACATCTGCGCCGTTCAACTGGACCACAGCCACGCAGCCGCCTGGATGGACCTGGGTACCCTCTACGAATCCTGCGGCCAGCCGCATGACGCTATCAAGTGTTACATCAATGCTACGCGCAGCAAGGCGTGCCTCAACACTGCTGCACTCACACAACGCATCAAACTGCTGCAGGTAGGGCTGTCCATTGATCACACCATCAGCCAGCCCAGTTTGTTAGATGTTGTGGAGTATTTTGGTGTGTGTGTGTGTGTGTGTGTGTGTGTGTGTGTGTGTATTGAAGTGCTGTGCTTATTGCCAAAGCAAAATGCAGATTGTGCTTTTGTCATTTTGATTTCTGACCACTGAGATATGAATAATAATTCATATTGGTGTTTTTAAACACATTTTCTCACTTTTTGTAATTGTAAAGCATACCTTCATGGCATTGAACATTTCTGTTATATTCTGTATATGGTTACCTGAAACACCACCTATGAGTAAGCAGCAGTCTTTGTAGTGCCTTTCTTGTTAAACCCAAGTTCAGCACTAAAGTTTGTGTCTTACACAATTTCTCCTAGGCTCAGTTGTGTAACCTACAGCCAGGTAGTCTGCAGAATAAGAGTAAAATGCTTCCTAGTATTGAGGAGGCGTGGAGCCTACCCATTCCTGCTGAGCTCACATCCAGGCAGGGGGCCTTGAACACTGCACAGGCACAGCAGGTGAGATCCAGCTTATACAAGAGACTCTAGCCTCTTGGAAATGTCTTGAACAATATAAATTCACGAGGACTATTAAAGCTGAGGCCTTGCTCTGACACTTTCAGATGTTTTATCCAAATCAGACAATATCCATATTTCTAAAATTCTGGTTTGCATCTGTGGCCAATGTGGACCAAAAGATAAAATGGGAAACAATCTGAAGGGATTGGAGCTAGGCCCGTATTTCAGTAATCATATTACTAGTTGACCTTCATTGTGCCTCTCTCTGTCACTTGTGTTCAAATTACAAAGCAATGGTACAAGGACCTCATTATGTCCCACAACTCTTATTCCTAATGCAAAGATGCACAAATCTTGTGCAGTCATGGCAAATGAAAATGCATGCTTAATAGACAGTATATTAAAGGGGATCTATTATGCTAATTTCCAGCTCTATATTCTTCGTCTGAGACTCCACTAGAGTAGCTTTGCATGATCACATGCTTATTTATCTTATCAGACCACAAATGAGCATTTGTGGGGACCGGGCCTCACAGATTACTGTACATAAGTGCACAACTTTCTACATTTATTCAGTGATTTTGGTGAAACTGGATCATATTTTATGGAGAAAATATTTTCTGGTCTTCCCTCTGACGTCCTCCGGCTGCTCTGCTTCAACTGTCAGTGATTTACAGAGTTTCCTGATGGAACTTCGTTAACTGTTGTTAGCTACTTTAGCCGCTGACTACCTGCTGGTGTTGGCTGGTTAGCCTGCAGCTAAATTAGCCGTCCTATTAGGTGACTCTGCCCAGTGTTGGTGTTTAACTTCACATCTCTAGTACAGGAGCTTTGGACCACCGGGACCGTCGCTACCTCAAGCTCTCAGTCTGTTAGCAGCAGTTAGTGGTTAGCTAATAGCTACAAGTAAATATCCCTCAGTAACCTTTTAGTCGGATATTCACGCAAAGTAGAAACGGAAGTTGGAAATGTGAATTCTCAGCTTTTTGCTTACAGAGTGTGTGTGTGTGTGTGTGTGTGTGTGTGTGTGTGTGTGTGTGTGTGTGCGTGTGCGTGTGTGTGTGCGTGTGTGTGTGTACGTGTGTGTGTGCGTGTGTGCGTACGTGTGTGTGTGTGCGTGCGCGTACGTGTGTGTGATTAAGGAAAAGCGTAAAAGGTCCCCTTTAATGAATTTATGTGTTTTTGTGTAATTTATTTGACAAAAACTGGCATGAATAGTTTTTACTTGTCTTGGAAAATGAGACAAATCTGAGCCGTGCACATAGATCTGAAGGTCGACCCTCACCATCAACACATCAGTTTTATTTAGTCCTCTTATTTTCCACATTGAATTTCTTTTTCATGCACTTTTGTCTATTATAATCTTTTTGACTTCATCCTCTTTTGGCTACAAATAACATAATTTCCATCATTAGCACTTGCTTGATCTGCACTGTCACCAAACATAGAGAAATGGGAGTAACAGAAATATAGTTTTTATTAAAAAACAAAATTCCCAGATCAGATGTTTTTTTTTTTTTTTTTTTTGAGATTTGATTAAGTAAATGTAAGCATTGTTATCTGTAATTATTAATGTTGCAAAGAAAGTGTCCAGAGACAGTGGGAACTGAAGAGACCAGAATGTGTGGTCTGCATGTCCGAACAACCCTCCACTAATGCAACTGCTGTTGCATTAATCACATCTTAATCACAGCATGAATACTCTGATAATGACCTTAATCAGCCTCTGTCAATTAGATTAAGGTGGTAACACCAACCGTATATTAATCGGAGTATTGTCATACATGCAGTATTTAAATGCTCACATTTTTGTGCATGTAATGTAGTATTCAGTGTATCAGTGTCGTTGTGCATACAAATTTGGATTCATGGCTGTGTTTTCCCCCTATTTGAGACACTACATTTTTTATTATGAACTGTAGTCCACTTGAAGAACTTGGAATAAGCTATATTTTTATTGTCAGTCCTCACAAGCTGTGTCTCTGTGCCGGCTCTCTAGGCCTGTAAGGGGGAGGGAGGCCAGTCTGCCAGCAATCACACAGACCCACAGGCCAGTCCTGCCAAGAGGAAACGCACTGCCAGCCCAGCTAAGGTACAGCTAAGAACATTAACATTACTATTGTGCTGTGCAGTTGAGAGGGTGAGCCATGGTTCACATGTTTCTGTCTTACTCACAGGGTGCTGCAGACTCATGGGCAAACAGTCCCAGTCAGCAGCAGATCCCCAGCTGGTACCTAACGCCACAGAAGCTACAGGTAGGGCATTCATATTTATGTTTGTTGTTTGTGTGATATTAATGGTCTTTTATACACAGAAACTTTCCTGAGTCAGATAAATGTTCTCAATGCAGTCCTGTTGCAGTTGTGAGGCTGTCACATCTGCAAATTTATACTTCCACACAGTTAATGTAAACCTCCTCAAAAATGCATCCAAATATACTTCCACATTGATGAGAAAAGAAAGTGTCAGCAGAGGGCGTTTTCCTGAGCTGATGCTAGATACTACTACTTTTTGATAGTGGTTAAGCCGCATATTATCTATATTATAAACGAGGGAGAGAGAGTTGTAACAAAGGTCCCTAGCTGGACTTGAACTGGGGTCATTCATGATTATTTATTTTTATTTATTTATTTTTTTTTAAAGAGTTTCACAAAAAAAAAAAAACCACACCATTTAACTGCAGTGTACATATATTAAACTACACATGAGGATTACCCACATTTGCGTTAAATGGACTGCATTTGTATAGAGCCTTTCTAGTCTTCCACCCACTGAAAACGCTTTACTCTATATGTCACATTTGGCCATACACACACTCACACACTGATACCACAGCATGGGGACGCTTTGACATGTAGAGGGAGGAGTCAAGGATCAAACCACGACCTTTTGATTAGTAGATGACCCCCTCTACCTCCTGAGCCGCAGCAGCCATGTTTTATAGGAATGTGTATTGACATTATTCTTATGATACGTATCACAATACAGGGGTTACGATTCAATATATCACGATATATTGCAATACTGTAAAGAAAAATATTTATATATATATATATACAGTGGGTACGGAAAGTATTCAGACCCCTTTAAAATTTTCACTCTTTGTTTCATTGCAGCCATTTGCTAAAATCAAAAAAGTTCATTTTATTTCTCATTAATGTACACTCAGCACCCCATCTTGACAGAAAAAAATAGAAATGTAGAAATCTTTGCAAATTTATTAAAAAAGGAAAAACTGAAATATCACATGGTCATAAGTATTCAGACCCTTTGCTGTGACACTCATATTTAACTCACATGCTGTCCATTTCTTCTAATCCTCCTTGAGATGGTCCTGCTCCTTCATTGGAGTCTAGCTGTGTTTAATTAAACTGATTGGACTTGATTAGGAAAGGCACACACCTGTCTATATAAGACCTTACAGCTCACAGTGCATGTCAGAGCAAATGAGAATCATGAGGTCGAAGGAACTGCCCAAGGAGCTCAGAGACAGAATTGTGGCAAGGCACAGATCTGGCCAAGGTTACAAAAGAATTTCTGCAGCACTCAAGGTTCCTAAGAGCACAGTGGCCTCCATAATCCTTAAATGGAAGAAGTTTGGGACAACCAGAACTCTTCCTAGACCTGGCCGTCCAGCCAAACTGAGCAATCGAGGGAGAAGAGCCTTGGTGAGAGAGGTAAAGAAGAACCCAAAGATCACTGTGGCTGAGCTCCAGAGATGCAGTAGGGAGATGGGAGAAAGTTCCACAAAGTCAACTATCACTGCAGCCCTGCACCAGTCGGGGCTTTATGGCAGAGTGGCCCGACGGAAGCCTCTCCTCAGTGCAAGACATATGAAAGCCCGCATAGAGTTTGCCAAAAAACACATGAAGGACTCCCAGACTATGAGAAAGAAGATTCTCTGGTCTGATGAGACCAAGATTGAACTTTTAGGCGTTAATTCTAAGCGGTATGTGTGGAGAAAACAAGGCACTGCTCAACACCTGCCCAATACAATCCCAACAGTGAAACATGGTGGTGGCAGCATCAGGCTATGGGGATGTTTTTCAGCTGCAGGGACAGGACGACTGGTTGCAATTGAAGGAAAGATGAATGCGGCCAAGTACAGACATATCCTGGAAGAAAACCTCTTTCAGAGTGCTCTGGGCCGAAGGTTCACCTTCCAACAAGACAATAACCCTAAGCACACAGCTAAAATAACAAAGGAGTGGCTTCGGAACAACTCTGTGACCATTCTTGACTGGCCCAGCCAGAGCCCTGACCTAAACCCAATTGAGCATCTCTGGAGAGATCTGAAAATGGCTGTCCACCAACGTTCACCATCCAACCTGACAGAACTGGAGAGGATCTGCAAGGAAGAATGGCAGAGGATCCCCAAATCCAGGTGTGAAAAACTTGTTGCATCATTCCCAAGAAGACTCATGGCTGTACTAGCTCAAAAGGGTGCTTCTACTCAATACTGAGCAAAGGGTCTGAATACTTATGACCATGTGATATTTCAGTTCTTCTTTTTTAATAAATTTGCAAAAATTTCTACATTTCTGTTTTTTTCTGTCAAGATGGGGTGCTGAGTGTACATTAATGAGAAATAAAATGAACTCTTTTGATTTTAGCAAATGGCTGCAATGAAACAAAGAGTGAAAAATTTAAAGGGGTCTGAATACTTTCCGTACCCACTGTACATATAGCAATAGTGTTTTTGAGGATCAAAACAACATCACCAAACAAAATATCACTATACTGCTGCTGAATTAATTTGACACTGTAAATGTGCAGCACCTGGATCACTTGCGAACCAACCGAGCAAACCTCAAGCCCCCCCAGGTGCAGATGTTGGAGCAGCTGGAGAATCAGTACTCTCTCATGCAACAGCATCAGCAGCAGGTACACACCTTGATTATACTACACTATACTGCAGTCATAACGAGTTTTGTGCGTGCTCCTGTTTGTCCTGGTGGCTGCTAGTGTAGCCACTCAGCTAGTTGTTCATAGACTGTTGTTCAGCATTAATCTTCCCTCTTCTGTGTCAGATGAGGCAGCAGGCAGCAGCGGGTGGCCAGCCGCGGCCCGGCCTTCCCAACGGTCCTTTAGCTGAGCCCTCTAACCACCAAGCAGGCCTCTCCCGCACCTCCCCCCTCAATCACACAGCCCTCCGGCCCCCGTGTGTCACCCAGCCCACAGCCAACGGATCCTGTTGTTCGAGTCCTTCAGCGGGGCTGCTGGGACACGTGGACAAAAATCTGGGACTGGGAGGTGGTGGCGCAAGCAACGGAAACGTGCCTTACCCGCAGCAGAACTCTCTACCTCACAACTGCACAGCCGCCAGTCACCCTAGCACCAGCAGCACTACCAGTAGTCCCAGTCATCCAGACGAGACATGGAGGAGCCAACAACGCAACACTACCACTCAGGTATCCCTCTGGTTCTTGAGATGTTTCCAGGCTTTTCTCTGTTCCTTCCGTGTTTTGCGTTTTCTGGTATTCTCTTTTTGTTAACCTGGTACTATTGTATTTTGTGGTCTTCCTCTCTGTCCAGGGGCTTCAAAAAGGTCCAGGTTCACATTCGGCAGGTCCCAATGGAGAACCCCCTTTCTCTTCCTCCTCCTCCTCCCCTCAGACCTCGTTCTCTTCCTCTGGCATTCTGAATCAGGTTGGACATTCCTCTGGGCCCTGCACTGCCTCTTCCTCAGCCTCCTCTTTGTCCCCCACGTCTCCCCAGACCACACCCAACCACTTGTCCTCGCCTCCCCACTCCGCTACTACCTCAGGGGTCCACACCAAAGACACCACGCCTTCAGGGGGCAAAAATGGCAGCAACGGATCAGCTGCTGCTTTGCCATCAGGTCCGGAGGCTGCCGTCAGGCATTCCGCAGGGACACCCCTAAGTCCCGGCACCACCCCCGCGCAGGGATTGACTAATCACGTCCAGCCGCGGGTGACAGACAGCTCTGCTAGCCTGTCTCAGCCATGCTCTCCTGCCCCCGGCGTGCTCAGTTCAGACAATCCTCAGCTCTCAGCCTTGCTAAAGGGAAAAGCCAATGCTACCAGTAACGACGATAACAATAACTACAGTAACCATGGCGAGCCTTCCTCAGAGAAAATCAACAACGTCCACCCAGGTCTCCACGGTGCCGCTAAACCAGAGCAGCCGCCACTTTTAACCACCGCCACGTCTTCTCCACGCTCTGCGGACCTGCACACTACCAACAGCCTCTCCTGCCTTAACAGCCCGTCCAACACCGACAGCCAGGGGCCCACTGTCAATGGGAGGGGGCTGGAGGACTCCCAGAGCCCACTGAAGGTAAAGCCTTCTGGGGGAGCTCAGAGACGCACTGTCCCTGCTGGTCTGGCACCCTGGTCCTCTGTTTCCATCTACCCCAGCTCCAGTGAAGTGCTCAGAGCTTGCAGGTAAGAAGCTCTCATGTCACCACCATAATATTAGATATAAAAATTGAAAGCGTCTGTGAGAGAGACATTGTAAGACTGAATACATTTGGAATCAGTGATGTGCAACATTTTTTGGTTGTTTTTTGCTTCTTTAACATAATGTATTTTGGACATTTAAAGGCATACTAGAAAGGATTTTCCTAGAAAACAATGTATAGACTCATACAAACATCATCAATTATTAGCCACTGGAAGTGTGTGGCAGTGTCTGTATCTGCAGAGGACCTGCAGACCTCTGCCTGTATTTTCTTATTTTGTTGTGTGCGGGACGTTTCTGGGCATCAAAGCGCTGCTCACACCAGCCTTTTACCAATTGAAGACAACTCGTGTGATGCTGAATGTTTGCGACAGTTACGCAGCAGACTCATTCATATGTGAAATCGTGTAGTAGTGAGTAATGTGTTGATCCTTAGGTGCAGCTGGAAAATGTCATGGCATTTTGACCCCACACCGTGTGTTGCTAGTTGCATTTCTCATCTTGTTTGGATAATAACTGCCACTTGATGTAATTCAGTTTTACTGTACCATCATGAGCCCCTGAGATAATGTCAGACACAGATCTGAGACCAGCTTTTGGGTACTGATTCTCTTGTCACTGTTTAGACACCAGACTTTATGCTAGACTAGACTTTTTCTTTTGTCTTTTTTGCAGACAATATGGCCGTTAATATCCCAGAATTCCAGCCACATATAACAACTACCAGTCTTGCATCGAGAGCGCTGTTTATTCAGAGTTTATTATTCCTGAACATGTCGTGTCCAATTTTCACAGAATTCAACACTGAACTTCCTTGGGTCCCCAAAAATACACCTACCAAGTGTGAACAGAGAGACACACTCCTTCCTTTATGGCTAGGTGTCTGTTAAGCCTGTGCAAAGTTGAAGTCGTCCAACTCCTCGGCACAAGCGGATGTTTTAGTCTGTTGACATTTACATCAGCCAGACAAGTACACCGGTAAAAAGCCAGCATATGTCTGCTAATCTGAGCCTCGTAGTCTTAGGCCCAATCCTCATGCTGGGCCCTCTCCTATGTCATGTTCACATTAGGTCATTCAGACCGTAATTATGTGCAGCCATAAAAAAAAATGTTCCTTGTTGCAATTCTAAAGTCGGGCTGTTTTTTGTTACAAGCCGTTGTAGGTATGCACCAAAGCTGCAGAGCTAATCTGCTGCCTCCTACTCTTCCATCAGTCAGAACCACTGTATCCTAGCTCACTGGTTGCAAGGGCAACAGAACATGAATACAAACATTTTGGCATACTCAGAGTACAGCAATTAATAGGAGGCACCATATATATATTGGGGCAGATAAATTATCAATTGAGAATAATATCTTTAAATCCTAATGCAAAAGGTTTAATAGGCTCTGTGTTTTATTGAAAGCCAAACTATGTTTCTGAAGTTTGTTGATGAACTTTACTAGAAAAAATAAATTAGCATTTTGAGTGTCAGAACTGTTGTTTGTTGTTGTATTACCAGTAGTAGTGGTTGACTGATACAGGTTTTTAACTGGCTGATGCTGATATTTAGCATTAGGATAATCAGCCTGGTTAATTTATCACTAAACAGTGATGTCAGTTAGATTTGGTTAGAACAGAGCTATGGAATATCAAATGATTTATCTTTGCTCACTGTATCTCAGGTGTGCAAAAATTACAGGTTATGAACTTGCTGAAGAAAATCCAATATGACGCATCTCTAGTAGTTAACAATAAATAAAGGATTGTAAGTGGATCAGGCATTATATAACACAACTGATTTAAATTTACAAAAGCTGTGATATGTGTACTACTAGGTAGCACTTCCCTGCTACTGCTTAGCATATCCTTTCTGACTGGAAAGGCTGACCCCTCTCTCCATGTGGTTCTCCTGGTAAATGAAGTCCTGATTCTGTAAACTACAATCTAATCCCAAATATTTTGTTGTTAGGTGTGTTGAAGCTCAGTGAAATGATGTAAAATAATTCTTTGAAAGGGGCAAGGTTACAAAATGAGCTGATAAACTGACTGATCTCTTTTTCCCATTCTCTGGCTGCAGGAACCTGGGGAAGAACGGCCTGTCAACGAGCAGCATCCTCCTGGACAAGTGTCCCCCTCCGCGACCCCCTCGCCCACCCTCTCCTCCGCTGCCAAAGGACAAACTCAATCCCCCAACACCCAGTATTTATGTGCGTACAGCCACACCATAGAAAAAGTGCTTGTGATGTTGTTATGTGCAATGTTGGAGCAGCACTATCTTGGCTACAGCAGTTAGCTCTCTTTAATGTGTCTGGAGTTCCCTGACCCCTCCTCTCCTCTCTGACATACAGCTTGAAAACAAGAGGGACGCCTTCTTCCCTCCCCTTCATCAGTTCTGCACCAACCCTGCCAACCCGGTCACTGTCATCAGAGGACTGGCTGGAGCGCTCAAACTAGGTACAAAGCAGTGCACGAGATGCATTAAAAACAACAAAACATGCACTCCACTCTGTTAAAGTGGACAACAGGCTGAGTTTTCAAGTTTCAAGCATTTAAAATGTGTTTGATGGCACATGTGTGATGTGACGGTGACAGCAGCTGTGAGCATGTGCAGCTTGATGTTTGTCTTCTACAGTCTCACGTGGCTCTGTGGCTCTGTGGGTGTGTCTCAGTGATAACAGGAGGGAGCTGTGTCCATGAATTTGAAACATGACAACAGCACCACCTGCAAGTGGAAAATGTTACTGCACATGTTTGCTGTAGAGATAATTATGTGGCTTTGCCAATAATTTAACATCTGTTCTTCTATTACAATGAGTTGCTGCACTATTCTGTAATACTGTCATCTGACAGATTGTTCCCTGCTTATTTTCTGATGTTATATAGCCAAAGGTACTATAAGACAGTATAGACACAGAACACACAGCCTACAAACTCACCTGCTCCACTACCTCTACCCAGACTGCATTGTGTGTGTGAGATTGACAATGACCCTCTCTAACAGCTGTAGTTTAAATCTTAATTTTAAGATTCAGCCATTTTTGCGTTGTGTTAAAACATGCATTCGAATGAATCGACTTCTCACCTAGCTCTACTTTAAAGTTATTAAAAGAATCTCAAAATGAATCCTGAACTTAAAGTAACTACTCTCCTTCAGTGATTAGATAATGCAATATTTAAAAAAACATTTTGAACATGAGAGGAAGTAATTAAAAATTAAATCATGTGAAAGGTTGAATAAACAAAATCTAATTTTTTAATGTAACACTTGCCTTGCTTACTCTTTTTTTCTTTCCAACATGCACACACAGATCTGGGCTTGTTCTCTACTAAGACGTTGGTGGAGGCCAACCCGGACCACCTGGTGGAGGTGCGAACGCAGCTGGCTCAGCCCACTGATGAGAACTGGGACCCCAGCGGCACCAAGAAGATGTGGCGCTGCGAGAGCAGCCGCTCCCACACCACCATCATAAAATACGCCCAGTACCAGGCCTCCTCCTTCCAGGAGTCTCTGCGGGTCAGTGGGAGACGGATACACACACGCGTACACACAGACACTCACACACAGACAGAGACACTCACACACAGACAGAGACACTCACACACAGACACACACACTCACTCACTCACACACACACACACAACTAAACACACAACTAAAAAACTGAACAACCACAAAACTATAAACCTTTGAATCCTGTATTATATGGTAAATGGACCTGTACTTGTATAGCGCCTTTCTAGTCTTCTGACCACTCAAAGTGCATTTACACTACGTGCCACATTCACCCTTTCACACACATTCACACAGTGATGGCAAAGTCCATTGAACAGAAACTAATCATTCATACACACTCACACACCGATGCACGGCATCGGGAGCAATTTGGGGTTCAGTATCTTGCTCAGGGATACTTTGACATGTGGCAGGAGGAGCCGGGGATCGAACCAACAACAAAGCGGGTCGTCCCCTAATCGGAAGGTTGTTAGTGTAAAAGCGCTTTGAGTGGTCGCAAGACTATAAAGGCGCTATACAACCTTCCGATTAGTGGACGGCCCACTCTGCCTCTGAGCCACAGCCATCCCATATCCATGATGTTATGTACACATATCGGTTTAGCTAAATATTATATATATTTAGATTTATTTATCTATATTTCTATAGATTGTGTGCCTTAAAGTAAATACAGTATTTAGTACTATTGTACCTGTTAACTTTGATCAGTATGTTACTGATATGATAATACTAGTGGCTGAAATGTAGTGTCAGGTCCTGTACTGATGCAGGGCTCCCACACATCCTGGAACACCTTGATATTTATAGACTACAGACCTGGAAAGGTATTAAAATGACCAGATATCCTGGAAATAATTGATGTATTTGTATTTATACCCCTCAGTCAGAAAGGGTACACAAGTCTACTTAGGTAAACTGTATGACTCTTCAAAGCGGGTTTACCAGATGCAATGTGGAACTGCCTTGCAGTGAGTTTTCCATTTTTTCCAGAGATGGTCAATTTGTGTCAAGAAAATGTCTTGGAAAATGATTGGTTAAAAAGAGAGTGAACCCTGCTGATGTAATAATTGACGTTTAGCGGGTTCTAAAGCCTTTTTTTCTAAAGTTGCCAACACTTGTAATGCTTTTGCTGTGACAGGAGGAGAATGAGAAGAAGAAGGAGATGGAAGCTGAAGCAGGTTCCTCAGACAGGTGAGTTCTCTTTTCCTCTGGGTTCCTACACAGTATGGAAGAGTATGGAATTTTGCTTTTCTTAGTTTCAATGTCTGTAATGGGAAAGAAAACAGAAAAGAGTGTGGCAAAGACTATTGCCTCTGTTCTGTTTTCTAAAAGTAAATGGATCAAACAAGCAGAGTGCATTTCATGGCGTTTGGAGCCGGCAGCCAGCACAGCCATAAAGTTTACCACTGGGAGAGCGAGTGCCAGAGCCAGCTTATATCATCGAAAGCTAGGCAAGATGCCCAGTGTGCAGCTAAATGCACACTCTTATGCAGAAAACGCAGCAATATCTTTAAAATGCATATTTACACAGCATCACCAATAACCATTATTAAAGCTGCACTAACTTTTATTAAAATATCTTTTTGTCATATTCACTGAAACTTTCACTATATTCTGACAGTAGAACATGAGACAGATAATCTGTGAAACAATCAGCTTCCTCTGGCTCCTCCTAGTGCTCCTAATGGTATTTGCTAGAATTAGCTGAAACAAAAACAACCAATCCGAGCCGAGAAAGATAGTTGTTGAGTCTCATTGCCAGGACATCAAATATGGGGGATGAGACGCAACAACAACTTTCTTCAAGCCTCCAACCCACAGTGTCTTTCTGTCTTTCTCGGTTCTGATTGGTTGTTTGCGTTATGTCTAGCTATTTGTAGTCTACAGAGAAGTCTGTAAAGATTTTGAAATGGAAAATGTGTAGGAACCCCTTTGCCTTTCTGTCTGCTCAGATGTGCGTTCTGTGTGTGTATTTTCCCTCTTACTAACTACATTACACTCTCATGCTCTGTCAGTGTGATGCGGCGCAGGAAAGGGCCATTCAGACACCTAAAGTTTGGCACCAACATTGACCTCTCTGATGAAAAGAAGTGAGTGAACTGTTGAAAACTCCACAAAACATCCAGTCGCACATCATGTTGTTTGGGATCTTTTTAGTTGGGGGAAGGGAATAAGCCTTTCTGTGACCTTTGCCCTTTTACAGGTGGAAACAGCAGCTTCAGGAGTTGTCTAAATTGCCAGCTTTTGCAAGGGTGGTGTCAGCCGGTAACCTGCTCAGCCATGTAGGGCACACCATCCTTGGCATGAACACGGTCCAGCTCTACATGAAGGTGCCAGGGAGCAGGACGCCAGGTACACATGGACACAATAAAAACCACAGCTGTCTGTGTTTTCCTGCTATGTTAGTAATCGCATCCGTTTTCTTCCCAGGTCACCAAGAGAACAACAACTTCTGCTCAGTCAACATCAACATCGGTCCAGGGGACTGTGAATGGTTCGCTGTGCCTGAGACGTACTGGGGTGTCATCAACGACTTCTGTGAAAAGTACATCACCAGAAATGATCTCTTTTTAAAGTGTTTGAGCCAATCGACAGGGTTTACACTGACGGCTCCCTCCTTTTACAGGAACAACATCAACTTCCTGATGGGCTCCTGGTGGCCCAACCTGGAGGACCTGTACGAGACCAACGTGCCTGTTTACCGCTTCATCCAGCGTCCCGGGGACCTGGTGTGGCTCAACACAGGCACCATTCATTGGGTGCAGGCCATTGGCTGGTGCAACAATATTGCGTGGAATGTTGGACCCCTCACAGGTGAGAAAGGAAAGAAATAAGGACTGCGTACAGAGCCCGTGGGCTTTGTTTCCACTGATGTGCAGATAAAAATGAGCATCTCGTTGTTCTGTCCTTAGCCCATCAGTACAAGTTGGCAGTGGAGCGCTACGAGTGGAACAAACTGCAGAGCGTCAAATCCATCGTTCCCATGATCCACCTCTCCTGGAACATGGCCCGGAACATCAAAGTGTCAGACCACAGGCTCTTTGAGATGATCAAGTGAGAACTTTACTGTTTCTGAAGTGGCTGCGAGGACTACTGGGTGTGTTCTTTGTGTTGACCGCCTAACGTTTGTTTGTGTATGTTAGGTATTGCTTGTTACGGACTCTGAAGCAGTGTCAGATGCAGCGGGAACTGCTGCTGGCTGCTGGGAAAGAGCTGGTGTGGCACGGGAGGACCCAGAATGAGCCGGCACATTATTGCAGCATCTGTGAGGTAAGCACACGTCGTAATGCTAAACACAGGGTTGCCGAGGGTCTGGAAAGTACTTGAAAGTGCTTGGATTTCAAAAATAACAATCAATACCTCGAAGGTTATACACCTGGAGTGCCGGCCAATCTTCCTATCTATCACTCTCCATGTAGGTTTATTTATTTTGAGTGTACAAGTTCTACAATATTTGCATTATGGTAGGAAAGCCCATTTTCTTCTAAAAAAAAACATCCATTCATGTTGATTTTGTTTTGTAGTGGTGACTATTGGTGATGGAAAAAAAATGTTTTACACTTGAAACCAAAAATCTATGGATTCTTAGTAGGTATAGTTTCCAAATTGTACATACATATCTGGTTTTAAAGGGACATACCTCCTTAACTTTGCTTGAAGAAATGGTTATGACGGTAATGGTCAGAGACTTAATGTGATGTCATTCTTCATTTTCATTTAATGAGGCATTTAATGTGAAGCAATGGTCCTAATTTAATGATCAAAATCTAAAAATTCATAATACAAATAAATCTTGCATTTGGGTCTTTATCCATCTGCCAAAGTTTCATTCTGATGAAATAACTATTTTATTTAACCCCCCCCCCCAATTCCCAGGTGGTGACTGGCCTTACAGTTATAATCTGTAACATGTCCTGTCTATAAACTCTAGCTCTATGTTCTGTATGTAGTTGAGTTGTGTCCTTCCATTATCCCAAATGTTTCCAACAATGTTCAAACTCAGAGAAATGGAAGCGTTGTGGTTGTCTGTCAGAAGCTGTCATACATTGACTGTTTATCCAGTCTGAAGCCACATTGTTACCATCCACTGTTTAGATCTTGGTGCTTTTTAACTCTAGATTTGAACCGGATGAAGGATTTTAGTCATCAAACATCTGGATCTTAAGTTATCAGAGAAACAAGCTGAGCTAACGTTAGCAGCAGCTCGGCTCGCAGCTCCTCCGGGACGTCCTTTGTCTGTCCAACAGTGTGGGAGAAGCAGTGATTGTTAAGGTGGAACTGCTTTATTCAGTGTGTTTAGTGGTTTTAATCAGCGGGTCTGTTTGTTTTGGAGAGGAGGAGACCTCTGTGGATCATTGGGCTCCCGGTAGAAACCTCCTGAACCATGAACACTGAAGGAATCCTAACGGGGAGAAGCTGAAAACTCTTTTGTTATTGTTTTGATGTGAGACCCCCTAGTGGCAGAAACTACATATTGCACATATATATTTCTTCTGCCATCTAATGAAGTTAAACAGTTGATATCTTAGTATAGCACTGTGGGGGGTTAGACTGGTATATGTGAACATCTGTGTGAATTATCAGCCCTTAGTACTGAAATAATTTGTCCTTAAAGTGCTTGAAATGCCTTTAGAGTGGAAACCCTGTAAACAATACCTAGGTCCTTTTCTGCTGCATTTGTGTAGCGTCAGTGACACTTCCTGTCTACCCTTTCTTGTACAGGTGGAGGTGTTTGACCTGCTGTTTGTGACCAGCGAGAGCAACAGCAGGAAAACGTACGTGGTGCACTGCCAGGACTGTGCCCGTAGGGGGAGCACTAACCTGGACAACTTTGTGGTGCTAGAGCAGTACAAGATAGAGGACCTGATGCAGGTTTACGACCAGTTCACACTCGTAAGTATCAGGCACAAAATGTAGTGGGTTTTTATCCAGGGAGACCCTCAGTGATGCCCATGCTCAGTGTGTGCCTCCTCTATCCTTCCACAGGCGAGTCCCCTGCCTTCCTCTTCTTGATGGTAACACTGTTGTTCTGAGGACAGTTAGAGCCACAACGGACTTAAATCGGACACTCTCCGGAAACCTTTTTTTTTTGTTTGTTTGTTTTCTGATATTCAGGAAGTAAGCCGGCAGTCCTCAAAACAGCGCTCTGTAGCTCTCCCATAAGGCAGCTGCGTGAAAGCTGTGTGTCTATGCAACCTGCCCAGAGTGGTGTGCCCCGCCACCCCCACACCCCCTAGTGGACTGGAGTGTGGGGGGTCGGCAGCTCCTCTCCTGTCACCATGACCAGACTGTTCTACTGCTGGCCCAGCTGGACTTCACTAGAAAAATCCACAAAATCCCACATAAAAATGATGAATTCAAGTTTTGTACATAACTGGCAACATCGTCACACAGAGACTACTGACTTTTCTTTCCCCCATTTTTTTTTGTATTCTGTTTGTGAGTTGACACAAGAGCTTTGCCCCCCCTCCCTCAATGAGATGAGTAATTAGCATAGCTGGTCTTTTGTATGTTAGACACCTCCTTGGTCAGGAAAACAAGGTTAAAAAAACTGTTTTTGTAATGTGAAAAAGTTGAGTAACATTCTTTGCAACATTTTTCTCCCCCAATTTTTTAAAATCAGTTTATTTTCCTGGAGGATGAGTTTTTTTGGTTACTTTGTGGTGGGGGAAGAGGAAATCATTTGTAGACAAACAGCCAAGTCACAGAGAAAAAGGGTTGCACATAGACAGAAGAGTGAACTTTAATTTGTGTTCTTTTTTTTATTTTGATGTAAACTTACACTATTTATAAATGCATATTTATTGCTTGAAAATATTTGTTGATGGAATGCTGTAATTTTTTTCCAGAGTACCTGCCATTAAATTTGAAGGAGCCTTGTGATTTTAAGCTCGGCCCCTCATACGTTTTCTATATAAATAAAACTGCTTAGTCAGCGTTGTACAGAGACCTTCCCTCGAGATGGGTTTATTGTTTGAAGGATGTTTTATGAGTCAATAAACAAAAATTGTCTTTATTTACATCTGAAGCTCTGTTGTACTTTTATAGGATTAGTTTCTTTTTCTTGTTTCACTTAGCATCGTTTGTGTGTGTGTGTGTGTGTGTGTGTGTGTGTGTGTGTGTGTGTGTGTGTGTGTGTGTGTGTGTGTGTGTGTGTGTGTGTGTGTGTGTGTGTGTGTGTGTGTGTGTGTGTGTGTGTGTGTGTGTGTGTGTGTGTGTGTGTGTGTGTGTGTGTGTGTGTGTGTGTGTGTGTGTCTGAGGCTCTCCATAGTAGAGATTTTAAATAACTATGAGATATTAGTTGTTGATTTTTATCGCTTCTTTAGATTTCTTCAACACAACACACATTTTAATGGCCAAGCGTAACTGAATTTATCAAAAAAAGAAGCCTATTAAATCTATATGATTGTTAAAAAATAATACAGACTCTATAAAAAGTTCCCTAAACAGTAAATCTGCCCAAAATGTATCCAAACCACTCATTTTACACAAACGTCCTGCAATTATTGTGTCCACTGTTTGGGTTAATGTACAGTTTTGAAAATAAAATATTTTTTATGTATTTTGGGGAAGAATTGTGAACAGTTACATCAGAGTTCATGTGACTTATGTCACTTTAGATTGACATTCATCATGCGGGTCAGTTCAAGACCTTGATCTGTTCAGACTGGAATCTGATATGGACCATGTTTAAAAAAAACATGTTAACAGCCAACAAATTCATTTCTGTGCAATAAATCAGAATTGATTTGAATTTTCCTTCATATCCTAAATTTTTTTTTTTTTCCAGTGTCGAAATAGGTCATATTGGTCCTAAAAAGTCTTAAATTGATCCTGTTGAAACCCTGAAGCTCGTCCTGGTTTTACTCTGTGCTGTTATTCATCTTATGCATTAGTCTTGTGTTGTGAGAAGAGCTGGAAGTATGTGGAATAATGTCAGTTACACAAAATCAACAGAGTTTAGTCTATTAATCCAACAACAGGAACATAATACATTCCAATAAAAATACAGTGAATCCAACCTGAAAGTAAAAATATGAGACTGCTTCAGTGTAAACTAATAAGAATGCTATAGTATGTACACACAGCCTGTGATAATACAGTAGTTAAAAGGCTGCTGACTGCCAAACAAAGACAAAACTTCATACTAATTGTGTTTTTTGATCCTCTTTAATGGTCGAATATTCTGTAGGTACATATTTCTGATTTCTATGTGGGCTCCCTGTGTTCAGTAAGAGATCTATCCTGGAGCCCTGGTAGCTCACCTGGTAGAACTGGCACCCAATGCACCAAGCTCCTTACTGCAGCAGTCATCCCCCATTGACTCTGGTTTTAATATTGAAATTATACCTTTTTTTTTTACTACTGCAGAAAAACATATCACATTGCAGTTTCACACAGTTATCACACACAATATTTTTCCAAACAGACTGTAAATATGTCTTAATATATCATTCAGATGTGGAGAGTATTATAATTACATCAATATTTAAATCATGCTCAGATTTTTAAAAAATCTGCATCTGTCTGGTGTGAAGAACACAGAGAGGGAATGGCAGGTTCATGGCTGCCATTTGTCCATCTCAGTTGGTCTTCTCGTCTCCAGCAGGAAAATCCCAACTTCGCCAAATTGACCACCGGGACCATTAAAACTGTTTCTCACATACAGTCTTTGTTAAATTGTTTCACATGGCTGTGGTGATATGGTATCTCGGTCAGAGTGAAGCTTTAAATGTACAAGTTGTAACCAGGAAGACTGGAGGAAGAAAGTACTGCAGCGCTGGATCTGAACCAAAAGCAAATGAGAGATCAGTTCTGGGCTGCTGAGCAAGTGAGAACAATACAGACAGCAGATGGCAGATGAAAGATACATTCTCCAAGCAGTTATACATGTTAGGTTTAGTCACTTGAGATTTATAAAAGATTTTGCAGCCTGTCAGTGTATTAAGGAGTTAATAATTGAATTACCCTCAGGATAAATACAGTATCTATCTATCTATCTATCTATCTATCTATCTATCTATCTATCTATCTATCTATCTATCTATCTATCTATCTATCTATCTATCTATCTATCTATCTATCTATCTATCTATCTATCTATCTATCTATCTATCTATCTATCTTAGCTGTAACACAGTGAGCCAGTGTGTTGGATGTCCAAAAAGTTATGGTTTCATATTCAGTCTCTGTGCAATTCAAAGAGCAACAATCGGATTTCCTGTCTTTTTCACAGGAGCGATGTCTTTTTAACACAGCTGAGGTCTCTCCCCCGGTGCACGTCGGTTCCGGCCATGGCCTTCTGGGGAGCCTGTTATCCCTGCAAATTGTGGCTTGAATCTGCTCCGTATACAATCTGCAGCAAACAGTCCACAGCCAGACTCCTGCACCATAACAAAGACAGAATGCCTCATTAAATGTCCCCATGGGGCATCCAGTTGACCAGCTCCAGCAGGGAGCTGTTTTTTTATCTGAATGAAGTCTTTGAGTGTAGAAGAAGGGGAAAAATATAATGAATCAGAACAAAGTAACTGTGAGAAATCAAACGCATTTCTGATGTTTCTGTCTGCGATCAATCAAGGTTTTGCGTATACAATCCTTTTTGCCCCCCCCTCCTCAGTAGGTTATCATGTGCGGTAATTAAACAGTGTGCAGCTCGGTTTTTGAAACATTTACTTTACAGCCTCCTAAAAAAAGACCTGGTGTTGCTATGATTTACGGGAGGGGAGAAGAGGAAGTCAGACAGTTAGCGGTTTGTAAAGGAGGAACAGAAAGCAGTTTCCTCTTTACGAATGAATGGATGGAAATGATGCAACAAGCCTGCTGAATAATTATATGAGGGGCCGTACAAGACATAATTCATTCTGGCCCGCTCACACATACATTCTACTTTCACATACACATATATTTACTCTCACATCACCTTTTTTTCATCCTTACACTCACCGATTTTTATTCCTATATTTATATATTTTAAGTCACACATTCATACACTTTACACTCACTTCCATATATATTTTCATTCACTATTATATACATTTTACTCTCATATTCATATATTTGAACACATACATTTTTACATTTTGTTCTCATGCATATGTATACATCTATTATAAATAATATATGTATGTAAGAAAAGAATGTACCGGTATGTATGTGTGAGACAAAGTATCACGCTGTGATTGGCTGAGAAGGTGCAGCAGGGTCATGTCCGGGTCACAATTAACGTGGAAGGTAGAGGGGAGAGGCTGCAGTGCAGCAAGCCAGTGGGCTGTTAGGAAATATTATATCATCACTTTAAACTGTCATATCGTTGTCCTCGTCCCTTGAGCGGCAGAGAACAAGCTCATCTGCACCTAACGTTACTCACAGCACCGCTGAGGTGAGAACGCCTCCGCAGCCTAAGCAGCTAACGCCAACGCTACATAAAGACAAACTGGAGGATTGCGGCAGGCTTTACAGACACAGCGACACTTCGATAAAAACGTAGCGTTATTGGTAACTTAACTGGACGTTACTTAATCCCAGATGTTAGTTTGCTAATTTAGTAACAGGCTATGCGTAAGTTTAAGGTTTAAAGTGCAAAAACAAAGGGAATTTAAAGAATCTTTAAATGACAGAAAATCACGGAAGGTTATTTTGTTTTTCTAAAATCAGTGTCAATGATTCTGTCTCACTTTAAGGGTACTTTGGTCTAAATATCCTATATTAATGTTCTAGCATAAGCAGTAGCTACATTACCTAACGACAGCTCGGGTTAAGGTTATTGTTATATCCTGTTAATAGTCAGACTTAAGTTGATCTTGCTAGAAGAGGTCAATGAAAATACTGTATGTGTAACGTTCTAGAGCAGAGTATGGCTGACACATGACTCTCTTCTCGTCTTGTTTAGTCTTCCAGTAGACCATATGATTGATCATCAGACGACTGTATGACTGTCATATGGATAGGATGTTGACAAAAGGGCGCACTTCTGGTATTTAAAGCGTGCTAGGATTTAAATGTAGTCCTGCTGTCATCCACAAGCAGGGGCAGTATAGGGAGGAAAAGTTAGGACAATTCCAAGGGCCCATGACTGACAGGGGCCCCAAAAATAGGTAAAACCTATTATAAAATGATTAAACCATCATCATTCAGTATATATATTTTAAAGATAATAATAAAACTAATGATCTCTTTGTTTTTACTTGTTTTTGGCAGTAAAAGTTAAATATCCCCATTGACCAAAAAGTAAACATCCATATTGACCGACCACCCCTCTGTATCTGCATGAAATGGTTTGGTCCTGCCTTATCAACGGTGTTAAGTTGCAGTCAGTAGATGAGCCAGAACTACAGTGATCACAATGTTAACTAGTAAATCAAAATCTGGTTTTCAAAAAAGGAAAGAGAGAAAAGAGAGAGAGGAAAGACAAAGGAAAGGATGTCAATCTGTAACCCAGTGTTTCACCAAGAAAGGAGCCTATAGTCTGTGAGTGGTATTAACCTGTTGGCTTAATGTCCATAGGGAAATAAGATACAGCTACAGACTAGTGTCAGCCTACATTTAATCACCATTTAATCAGTTCAGGGAAACGTTTAGCAACATATTCATATTAAATCATTGTCCCTGCCCCTTTTAGCAGACTTAACAACAGATGAGTCAGCAGCACCCCAGTCTCCCCATCACTGTACCCCTCCCCGTCCCAGTGAAGAAGCAGAGCAACGTTGTGTTCAATGACAGGCCAGTTAGCATCATTGCAGGGAGTCTGTGGGGATTTCTCTGTCTCTCTTGCTCTTTTTACCATTACAAAAAAGAAAATGAAATATTTATTAATGACAGAAATTCAACAAATTAATAACAATTCTTTTCTCACATAATGATCATTATGAAATAAAATAAAAAAACAACAACCTAGTGTCTGTACTGGATGCTGGACAGTTGGAAACAGTGAGTATGCATTTTATGGTTCATTTTAATCTTGCATCAAATAGTGAACTGCATACTGTATGCAGACTTGCGTGCATGTGAAAATCACCAG